CAGAATGGTGCTCAAGAGAGTTAGAATCTATGCCCAGCTCATTCTAAAGACTGTTTCCTTCATGCTCTCTAAGTTCAGAGTAGAAATAGAGAGAGGTTTATCTTGGCAGGTCCTTTTATAGATTCCCTCTGTCTCCAGCCTCGTTGTCTACCAAATTGGGATTTTCACCTGTTAAGAGATGTACCTAAGCAATGGCATCAATGAATTTGGGAACCATCTGCCAGTCTTGAGTTTCCTGGTGGAGTTCCCTCTCTTTCTAGTTGCTTCTTCTTTCATGAAACACCAGATCAGTGTCTTTCCCATCTTTTCCCCTTTGCACAAAACCACGAGATGACAGATGACAGGACAGAAATAAATGATGGCTATGAATGAGAACCAAATGAGTATCCTGATAGTTGCACAAGTCAGCACCGCAGGTCCCATATAAAAAGCCCTGAAAGATCTCATGAGACAGCTTGGCCCAAAATATTTCAAAATGGATTTTCCTGGCTTTCAATGAGCCCCATGATGCAATTTCATGTGACGCTAAGTGTAAATCATCCATGAGGGGAATATCAGGCTAAAGGCTTATACAAGGCGCATTAAGATTCATAGTTGTCAAGTGGAATAGATGAATATGAAGCAGAGCAATCCTATACTTCTGGCAACTCTATAGTTACTTTCATAGGCACCACGACTGGAGATACACTGCTGCCACACCGGCCGAATGGCTCCCCTATCAAATGACATCATCCCCGTGTCCCTGATAGTTGCACAAGTCAGCACTGCAGGTCCCATTCAAAAGGCCTGAAAGATCTCATGAGACAGAAAGCTGCTGCATTCAGGTACTGCTTGTGGGCTTCACTTAGGCATCTGGTTGGCCCCTGTGAGAGCAAGATGCTGGCCTAGATGGGTCTTTGGCCTGATCGAGTGGGGATCTTCTTCTGCTCTTAGGTTCAGTGTCCCTTATTGCAACAGTTCCATGTAAGAAACACCTTCAGCCATTGCAAACTGTCTGCCCTGGAGGTTTCAAAGGAAAAGGATAGAAGCAGGTGTGCTTCCAAGGAGGAACACCTGGGAGCATTCTGGTCACTACAGCTGGTCATGGAGTGGGCTTTCCTCCTGGCCTGCACAGAATGGGATGTGAGGTGGATTCTGTACCTTGAGAAAGCAGCCCATGGAGGGGATGTTAGAACATAGCAAGGTTAGAACATAGGATAGATAGAACATAGCAAGGAAACATGCAATATCCCCGACAGTATGAAATGTCCATTGTAATTCCACTTGTGGCTTCCAGCAAAAGAGCCATGAGTTAGTAGCATTAAGAGCCACCCATTTGAAAGAAGCCCAGATCAAGATGTCAAGGAAGTCCACCCCCCTTTTAACCTTTTAGATGAAGATTAATCAGAGATCAATCCATATAAATATTTTCATACAAAAAATCCTACCTGGCCTTGCTTACAAAGGTTTATTGACAACAGTTGCCAAATGCCGAAGGGCGGGCAGAAAAAGGAGAGAATAGTTTCCATTTTAATGGTATTTGGAAGCCTCATTCTCTTCTTCCCATGTATCACCCACTGGCTTGGCTTTCTGGAGATATATATATATATATGAAACTATATATAGACATATTTACACAGCTCTGCTGAGAAAAGAATGGCAACTGGTCCTCCTTTTCAAATGCAGTGATGAGTATATCACCGAGAAGAGCATGGCATGATTGGCATGTCTTAAGGTGAGCAGGGAGACTTCTAATCTCCGAGAAACTGCTGTTCGCACTCCCACCAGATGCACATAAGCTCAAAAGAGTGGCAGGCATGGATGCTGACAAGCTGCCTACAGTGTCAAAGCCAGAGATAAGAGGCTGCAGGCTCAAAAGAATGCCTCTGAACATCAACATGGTACTGCAGAGGCAGCAGTTCAAAGCTCTGGTTATTCTCAAGGGAGACTGCTAGCGAGGTATGACATTAATTTGCTGAAAGGAAGAAAAAATGCGGAAGAAAGAAAGAAAGAAAGAAAGAAAGAAAGAAAGAAAGAAAGAAAGAAAGAACAGTTTTTGGTAGATCATGCTACTGAACAGATTGGGACATTTAAAAAAACCCAAGGATCAAAAATCTCAGAATTGTGACTTCTTTATCCTTTAGTCCACATTTACCACTCTTAGCTTCCTGAACTTCATTTGCTAAGCTATGCAAGGCTCAATGATCTTAGGCTTGCTTTATATAGAAGTAAGTCCTGTTGAAATCATTGGGCCCTACTCTTCCAAATAAATGCATTCAGGACTGTCAACAGTTTGCCATCTTTCATCTTCATGTCACACAAGATTAAATCAAATTGAACTTCAGCATTCTGGGAGAAACAGATTGGTGGTCTCAGTCCATTTGTCAGTGGGCAATAAAGCCACAGCTGAAATTGAACTGCCGAATTAAAAGCAAAAGGTGAACTGCAACAGATCTGGGTTTGATTCTGCCCTGAGTTTACCATTCTACCACTCTCTGTAGTGCTATGGAGAAATATAATCAATGGGTCACAACATCTATTCTACCTGACCTTTGCAAAGGGTTTTGCGTACATATCTTAAGTTCCGTTTGGGTGGGGGTTGTTGCTTTAGGATGAAATATGTCCTACCAAATGAAAGATGAAGAACAGGTTAAAAAATAGCATCTCCTCCTGAACCAATTTGCGAGAGAAATGCAGTTTGATAGCAGCCTTTAAGGTGCCTTTTCCTATTCCTGCATGTGGCAATCAACAGATCCCAAAACGTAGTAGTGGAGTGCTCAGCTGTCTACCCATAAGATTTTGACCGTACACTTAAGAATATGAATGGCAGTGGATAGCCAATATTCTGCCTTTGAGGAATTTAATGGCAGGCCAGCTATGAGGCACACAGCACAGTTCTTAATACAGTGCTACCTCGGGTTACGTACTTAATTCGTTCCGGAGGTCCGTTCTTAACCTGAAACTGTTCTTAACCTGAAGCACCACTTTAGCTAATGGGGCCTCCTGCTGCTGCCGCGCCGCCGAAGCACGATTTCTGTTCTCATCCTGAAGCAAAGTTCTTAACCTGAAGCACTATTTCTGGGTTAGCGGAGTCTGTAACCTGAAGCGTATGTAACCTGAAGCATATGTAACCCAAGGTACCACTGTATTACAAATGTTAAAGACCCAAATGAAGCATATCCCAGTCTGTCTCCAAAGGTTTTCTCATCCATGTGTGAAACATAAATAATTTTTATTTGCTGTGATCAAAGTGAGAATGTAAGGAGTGAACTGAATCCCCCCCCCCACAGAACCAGTATTGGAAGGGACCTTTAGATGGGGATTCCCTTGGTCTTGACCCAGAAATGACATTTCAATTTGTGCAGAATACTGCAGTGGGAGGGAGACCCTGTCAGCATATAACACCTCTGCTCAGACACCCGCACTGGTTGCCCATTTGTTATCAGGTCAAGTTCGGGTTTGGGGGGTTTTTTTGCCTTGTAAATACTTGATTGAGATTCGTTGATAACAAAAAAAAAAAATCTTATGTAAACAAAAAACGATCTTGGGTAAATGATCTTGTGTAAATATACAAATAAAAATTAATTCAATCTTATACGATCTCTTTCATCCTACATTTTTACTAAAATACAAAAGACTTCTCATCAACTCCCAATGCATTTACCAGGTCAAGTTCAAGGTGTTACTATTAAGCCTTTAACAGCTTGGGATGAGTTTACTTGGGGATCACCTTACCTATGGACATATTCTATGGAATTTTACTTGTGAGGCTGTAAATTTTTTAACAAAGAAGCAATAAAAATACAATTAAAAATCAATATGAATGCAGACACACCACAGACCACCTGAATGCAGCATGGACCACAACTTGGGAATCCCTGCTGTAAGTGCAGTTAATACATTCTGTAATATAAATTACCCATCAAATGATCGGTGGTGGAAAAACTTCGCAGATTGCTTGTCCTTCCTTTGGGTTTTAAAGCAACAATACGTAAATGCTCTGATATTGTGTCTCCACCTGCCTCCAACATTTGGAGGCTGGTTATTTAAAATAAACTTATGTAAACAGACCGTTTATCTCACCCAGAGCAGGTACTGCACAATCTCACTTAGCCGAAGAGGTCATTGAGTGCCATTCCCCACGCCACAGCCCATTCCTAGGGGAGCAATATCTGCATTACTTGGTGCAGGATTACGACCTATTAGCGTGGCTGATGGGAGGTGACAAGGGAAAGGAAAGTAATAAACTATTAAGAGCCCATTGTGCAAATATCTTCTTTGTATCAATCCATATCTCCCACCCATATGCAATCAAGCGCATCGATCTGCATTTTGATGGTGGGCTTTACACCTACATTACTGCCTTGTGAACTTAACAAAAGTTCATTGCCGAGGCCCAAGGAGATTAATTAAAGAGCAATCAAAACAATTAGTCTTTCTGTTCGAAACAAGCACCTATAGAGCTGCTCACCCACAGATCATTCCTCTGGAAAGATCAGGTATGAAAAAATATAGATTTCAGATGCTCAGTTTGATTACACCGTAGGAGGGGGAAAATGTGTTGCATTAAAATCCAAGTCATCTGTTGCTGCAGATCTATTTCATATATATATATATATATATATATATATATATATATATATATATTCAAAGGGGATTTACTTGCTAGAATAAACATGTTTTTCTTCTAGAGCCAGCCAGGTAGTGATAGTGACTTTTAAGCATCTGTTGAAATTGGTTAGGACTTAGCATCATAATGTGAATTTACAATGATTGTTTGGGAAGTGTTTAAATTGTTTAGGAGCCTGTCATTTCTAGACAGCAAGCAAAGCCGCTGAAAGAGTGGGGCATTCAAGGAAATGTGCTCAGGACTAGAATTATGATGTTATTGATGAGTACTGTTTTCTAATGGTGGTGCTTAAGTAGTGTTCCGGTTGCAACATAAATGACAGGGTACTAAAGTGCTTTAAGTTTTTAAGTTTTCGAAAATGATTTAAAATGTACATGCCTGGGGAAGGGCTGCAGTTCAGTGATAGAACACCTGCTTTGCATGCAGAAGGTCCTAGATTGAATCCTTGGCATCTCCAGGTTGGGCTGGGGGAGCCCCCTGCCTGAAACCCTGGAAAGCCTCTGCCAGTGCAGACAGTGCAGAACTAAATGCACCTATGGCCTGACTCAGTATAATGCTATAATGCTCCCAGGGAAATTACATCCCTCAAAAGAACTAGAAGAAATGGCCAATGCACGTTTGCACTGACCTCTGCTGCTCCCATTGGGTGAAAAAGGTTGCAGAAGCCCATATAAGACAATGGAAGGGGGCCTTGACTCATTCCATCTCCTATCTGCGCTAATTGTAGACTTTTAGAAAAGAAGAAAATGCAAAAAGTTGCAGTTTCTGTTTTGAGGCCAAAACAACACCGGGATATTTGGAAAGCGCAAAAGCCAGAGGATCATTGTGTTCCAATCTGCACATTAGTCCAGGAGGGGTGGATCTGTTCAGTGTGTATCACAATTCCCAAAGAACCAGTTCCTCAAGCATTTCTGCCATGGAACCTTTACTCGGCAGGCATTATAGAAAGAAACTATCTTTGTATGAATTTGATCTGTAATAGCTAATCTGCAATGTGCTTTTGCTTCAGGCTGTGCAGTAGTACAATCTGATAAGCGGTGTGTGTATACATATACATATTGCAAAATTATGTGTACTATGAACAAGGGAGCAGTAGATTCTGCTACCTCATCTGACCCTGAACTGCAAGACCCTATTCAATCCACTATGAAGGGAATAAAATAAGACATGCTGAAATCAAATTGTGGCAAGCCCAGGGTGTGTGGACTGAACCGAAACAACCACAGTGTCTGTAACGAGCTCACTTCAGGCTGAGTAAATGATGGAGTTTTCCAACGGCTGTATCCTGATGTAGTCCAGTGAGTACTGGGGAGATTGCACATAACTCTGCCAAGAAGATGGATGTTTCCTTGGGGAGCCTGCAGGCAATGGGGCAATCCATGCAAATCAGGCCTGATCTCATATGGTTGGTTTTCTTGAGCCATCTATAAAAACTGGAGCGCCATGCGAGAAAAGAAAAAAGCTGGCAACAATATAATTGATAGTGTCTCATATATAAATATTAGCCTATTTCTCCACCATTTTATAGAAGCAGAGGTCCAACCCTCCCAGCATGGATTAAATACATACACTTGAGAGTCAATAAAGGATGCCATTTGATCCAGAAGGGGGGGGGGGACCCATCACCTTCCAAAAATTAAACAATTGGGCAATACCTTTAACAGGACCAAGCAAAATACTGAACTTTTGTGAGTTCTCTAGAACTCTTCATCAAGCTAGATCAAGAGTGGTTAATCTGTGGCCTTCCAGATGTTGTTGGACTCCAACCATGAATCTTTCTCATGCTGACACTGGGCTCCTGAGGCAGAGGGTATTATTATTTTTCTTAAATCTATATCCCACTTTTCTTCCATCACAGAATCCAGAGTGCCATCCATATGGTTCTTAGGCAGTCTCCCATCCTGGCACTAATCAGGCCTCCTTAGCTTCAGCAAGGCATCATGTGCCTTCAGACCATACTCTGGGACTGTGGGACACTGGCGGCGCTGTGGTCTAAACCACCAAGTCTCTTGGGCTTGCCAATCGTAGGGTCGGCAGTTTGAGTCTGCCCGATGGGGTGAGCTCTTGTTGCTCTGTCCCAGCACCTGCCAACCCAGCAGTTCAAAAGCATACCAGTGTGAAGAGATGAATAGGTACTGCTGTGGCAGGAAGGTAAACCACATTTCCATGCACTCTGGCTTCTGTCACGGTGCCCCGTTGCACCAGAAGTGGTTTAGTCATGATGGCCACATGGAAAGCTATCTGCAGACAAACGCCGGCTTCCTTGGCCTGAAAGCGGAGATGAGCGCTGCACACCATATTCAAATTCGATGGGACTTAACTGTCCAGGGGTCCTTTACCTTTACCTTTTTACCTACTCTGGGACCAGAGACAAGTGCTCCTGAAATGCCCCATTTCTGGCCCTACAGCCCTTGTAGCATGGTGACATGTTTCATCTCCACACCCAGGATGGGGACTTGAAGGCCAGATGTGGCTGAAGATCTGGTCCCATCTTCCCTGACTATTGGCCATGCTAGCAGGGGCTGATGGGAGTCCAACAATATCCAGAGGGCCACAGCACTCTGAGTTTGGAGTTTAGCATTCAGCATGGGCTGCTGCGCCAATTCTTTGCACAGCATTCTTAATAAAACCCACCATTAATGAAGCTTTGTTTGTTTGCAACTTCACCAGGCTTCCTTTAAAGCTTTCTATTAATTTTCTCTATTGCATCTCTTTACCTCCAAGGCATTAATATGACACAGCATGAAAAACAGCAGCCAACAAACACAGCATTATAATAACCACAAAGCATGACATACTAATTTTCTCCTTAACATTACCTACCTACCTACCACTGTTAGAACGAAGCCGATCTCCAAATGCATCAGGCACCATCCTAAAGCTACTGGTGTTTTATTTTTAGATTTTACTATTATCTCTGCACCTGAATTATCCAAGCTTGTAAAACTCCGCTGTGTTGTTTTCACCGCCTCCTCCCTCCCTTGTCACCTCAGGTTTCTAACCGCAGAGGGAGTTACTGACATTAAGAGTCAGCAAATATATCTAAAAGACATCAGAGGGATTGAAATGCTTTCCGGTAATGCGAAGCGCAAGTCCACATGGCAGGGAGGAGGGAAGCCTCAGCTCCCTTTTGAGGCACATGTTCAGAAAGGAACTAATTATCCTGAGTCAACACCCTAATTCCCAGCACTTTGATCACAATTCTCTGAATTGTAAATATCGTGGAAAGGGAAAGGGAAAGTGTCATCTATCAGTTTTAATGAAAGGATCTCTGCCCGCAGAACGCTGCATGCGTTAAGAGAGGGCCGCTCGGAGTCACATCCTGAACAGCCACAGGGGACTCTGAACATACCTTCAAAGCATGTGTAACAGTCAAAGCCAATGGAGATCACAGGAGGCATGCTGTGGGTGATAACACTTCCCTCCAGAAAAGAGGCCTGTAAGCTTCACCGGCAATTCCACCTGCCGTTGTAGGGAAATTAAACTCCCACAGCTTTGCTGCCATTGCTTGGCAGAATTTTTATTTTTATCAGCCTCAAAGGGAGTATAGAACAAGAACAGATCAACTGAACGCTCCAGGCAATGTGAGTTTCGCATAATGGCAACTCATGGTAGATGAATGAGCTCTAAGAGAGCAACAGGACTGTGGTGCCTGTGTAGGCCCTGGGTTTTCCTGGCTGGGTCTGGGTGTTCTCTCCATCTGTCATAAAACACTCTGTTTCATGACCAAACTCTTTCAAGATGAAGCCAATACACACAACACCACAGCCATCAGAATGAGTCACATAGGAGCACAGGAAGTTACCTTATACCGAGGCAGATCATTGGTCCACCTGCCTCAGCATTGTCTATGCTGACTGGCTGCAGTTCTCCAGGTTTGCAGGCAAAGGACAATCCCAGGCCTACCTGGAGATGCCAGGGATTGAACCTGGAACTATCTGCATGAACCAAAGATACTCTGAGGGACGGCCCTTCATACTGGCTCACAGGGATGGTGTTACTGACTATCCCTGTGGCAAAGCCTTTATGACAACCTCAGACAACCTCAGATGATTCTCTCTGTGTAGAATGCACTAATCCCACCAGCCTGCTGTTTTAGAATTTCTTCATATAGTCCCAATGGTTGAATACTTGACACCTTGAGCCTTCCCTAGACATGACCTTATTGTTGCCATCAGTCTGTCTTGGGAGACAATGGAGGAATGTGCCTTTGGCAGTGAAGGTTACTGTGTTGGAAGGTTACAGTGTCTGCTGTGGCTGTAGAGACGGATATGGGAGAGACATGTTTTGTTGCAGCTGGGGCAGATGAGGGCAACCAACTGTGCTGCTGCAAATGCACTGTGGTGTTTCTTCTTTCTGTGCTCCTCCCAGTGGTCATTTCTCTTCTGGTAACTGCTATGGATGCACAACCTGTCTGCCTATCTCCAGGCACTGTGGTCATCTGCAAGAGAAAATAAAAAATACACAGAGAGTGTCTCACAGAAAGTGAAAATAACATGTCCTCTGGTTTTAAATTTACTTTCATAGGAGAAGTAATATGCACAGGGTTGTTATCTGTGCCATATGTACTGGACTTGGTGAAGTCCAAGGCCTAACCGTATTGGATGTTTCTCCCCAACTTTCAGTCAAGACCTGAGTGTTCAATGTAAAATGAGGTGTTTCCATTATGTCTTTAGCCTCCTTCAGGCATTGCAGCCATGAAGGGGTAATATGAGATGGAGTCTTCACAGGTTTCCTTTCAGGAAAGAGTGAGGAATATATTTATAGTGTATTTTACACACTCTTCCTAAATGTATTAAATGACCATTTTTTAAAAAAATTAAGAAATTAATACATGGGACTAGTTTTCACACGACATGTTTACAGTGAAGGCGGCTGAGGAAGATTTGTCTGTAAAGGTAATAGGGAAAACGCAATAAGTTTGGGAAAACATGTTCATGTAAAACACTGAACTCATCCATTTATTATAAACTCTAAGCAAGGAAAACTGGCCACTTGAAAAGGCAAGGCAAGAGCACTGTCTATCTGTTCTTCAGGCACCATTGGATTATAAATTTTGCCCACAAAGGCTCAGGACAGTTAGAAGGCACAGCTCATTGCTCTTCTTTTGATGTGTATCTGTTTTGACATCTGACGGTGCCTTTATAAAGCTGATGTCACCATTGCTTTTTCTCCATCAGCATTCAGTAAAGGCAGAGCAAGGGCTCAAGAAGAAAAGGAGGATTTGTGGATGGAGCATGTGTTGTGATATAGAAGTATTCAATCTGCAGATAACCGCCCCCTGCCACAGAATTACACAGATTCCTTGACTGTCAGGCATGTGAGATGAACCAGTTTGAAAGTTGCCCTTACACCCACACCCACCCACCCAAATGTTTCATGGCTAGTTGCAGTGCTGGTAAGAATGGTACCTGTGCTCAATGCGACCATGCTCCAGAGCTCTTAAAGGGACCCAAA